TTGCCTGGCCGATTGATCCTTTATGAAGCAAATTGAGCATCTGGCCCCAAACAAGAATGCAGCTGCCTCTCAGAAAACTCAGAGTGTCGGCCCCTGAATGATAGGTCAGAGACACAGAGCAAATGCAGGAATCCCTCTCTGGCAATACCCCAAGGAAGAACACAGCACATACTGTCTTCCTTAACGAGTGAAGAGAGGCCAGTGGCCGCTCAGAGCTGTATGAGGAACAGCAGGGTCCTCATTCTTGGTGATTCACATTTCTGAAAACCGCCCCCGCCAGCCCCCAGAAGCTCTCACATCCTTCAAAAAGCTTATCTAAAATAGGGTCTCCCATTCACCTCCACAGGGCAGTGCTGCCCTCTCCCTAGAGGTGAGGTCAGCCATGTCACAATGGAGGACTTGCTCCGCCAGCAAGCACAGGCCTGACAGCCAGCCTGGCACCCTCACCTTGGCGCTTCTCTTTTCCTCTGAGCCCTCGGTAAGGAGAAAGGCCTCATGGCCATCTGTGCCCTCTACCCGCAGGAAGCAATTGGTGGTGTGGCCAATCCCAGAGGGCAGAACTTTGTCCCAGAGCATGGCATTGATCACGGTGCTCTTCCCATTGCTCGTCCTAGAAGGAAGTAACAGCTGTCAGCAAAGCCACCAATATCCGACCTGAATTACTTTCACAATGCAGATACCAGCCTGGAAGGCCAAAGCTCTATTCACTGCAATGCTGCCAGTGCCCAGACAGTGCTGAGACTCAGAGTAGGCACTGTTTATTAAAATGAATAAACACCCCCAGGCCCAAAGCTGTGACATACCCCTGGTTCATCATTTCAGATTAATCTGCAAGAGGCTCACTACGCACTGTCTGCCCCTTGAATCATACAGCCACCCTCAGCATCACTTATAGAGACTGTCTGAGACAGTCAGACAGTCTCCAAAGTTTAACTCAGGCCTACCTGAAACACCAACTCACCACCCTCAAAGCGTCTTTCTCAGTCTAAATGACCCCAGTGTTTCCCACACAGGGCATGTTTCACTGGTTTTCTCCCATCACGCTCCTCCTTACACATGAAGCTTCACCTTGTCAGTCCCAGCTGACAACTGCCAGGCTAAAGGGAAGATTACTTTCTCATTCTTTGTTTTTATTATTATTTGACATGGAGTCTCGCTCTGTCACCCAGGCTGGAGTGCAGTGGCATGATCTCAGCTCATTGCAACCTCTGCCTCCTGAGTTTAAGGGATTCTCCTGCCTCAGCCTCCTGAGTAGCTGGGACTACAGGCGTGCGCCACCATGCCCAACTAACTTTTGTATTTTTAGTAGAGACAGGGTTTCACCATGTTGGCCAGGCTGGTCTCGAACTCCTGACCTCGGGTGATCCTCCTGCTTCAACCTCCTAAAGTGCTGGGATTGCAGATGTGAGCCACTATGCCCAGCCTACTTTCTCATTCTTACCTATCACACCCCTTTCATGTAATCTGGTGGGGTTTTTTTGGGTTTTTTTGATACAGGGTCTTGCTTTGTCGCCCAAGCTGGAGTGCAGTGGCGTGTGGCATGAATAGAGCTCACTGAAGCCTCGACCATCAGGGTTCAATGATCCTCCCACCTCAGCCTCCCAAGTAGCTTACACTATAAGTACGTGCAACCACGCCCAGTTAATTTTTAAATTTTTTGTAGAGATGGGGTCTTGCCATGTTGCTTGGGCTCGTCTCAAACTTCTGGGTTCAAGCAATTCTCCTGCCTCAGCCTCCCAGTGCTGGGATTACAGGTGTGAACCACTGCACCTGGCCATTTCTGCTTCTTGAAAATAGCTCCACTCAGCAGACTCATCTGCTGTGAGTCTCAGAGCTTTCAACCTGTGCTAAATACAGTGTTTCTGAGTTAAAGTTTCCCAGCCACATCACTAGAGCAGAACTACAATGACCTTACCTGCACCCACTGAGACAGGCAGCCCACTAGCTCACCTAAGTAGGGGTCATACCTCCCAGGTGAGGATGAAGAAATGATAGTTCAGAGTACAGGACCACACCTGAGGTTACAGGTCATCAGGAACAAGACTCTAGGCACAGTGCCTATTCCCCAGACTACCACCAGGTGCGTAGCATACAATCTGTCTAGATGTCTTTTTTCCTGTATTAGATGTGTGTGTGTGTGTGTGTGTGTGTGTGTGTATACATTTTTTTTTTTTGAGACGGAGTCTCGCTCAGTCGCCCAGGCTGGAGTACAGTGAGGTATGATCTCAGCTCACTGCAACCTCTGCCTCCTGGGTTCATGCCATTCTCCTGCCTCAGCCTCCCAAGTAGCTGGGACTACAGGCACCTGCCACCATGCCCGGGTAATTTTTTTGGATTTTTAGTAGAGACGGGGTTTCACCGTTAGCCAGGATGGTCTTGACCTCCTGACCTTGTGATCCACCTGCCTCGGCCTCCCAAAGTGCTGGGATTACAGGCGTGAGCCGACGCACCTGGCCATTATACCAGTTATAAATGTTTGGCATAGTACTTTGGGTACATTGTGGCTCCATAACGGCCAGTGTTAAAACTGCTTCCATGTCAAAGCAAAGAAAACTGCCTATATATTGGTTAGTCCTGGTGGGGAATAAAAAGGATCACTGGTTCCAGTCACAGGAGTAGTAACTGTGGGTACCTTAAGGTTTGGGGCACTTACAAGGCTGTGGTAGAAACAGATACCCCATGGCTATCACATGTTAAGCCATGTGTATCTGTGGAATACTCAATCTCAACGTGCACACCTTTGACTACCGCTGTGGAAGCGTTCCTTTAGACAAAGCTGTGACCCATTTTACTCTGGATAAGGACAGAAACAGTTCACATTCCATTATTTGTAAAGTTATCTTCTGTTAGCTTTCATTATTTTTGCTACACTCATTTTATTTGTATTTAAAATGCTTTAGGCAACCTAAGAACAAATGTAAAAGTAAAGATGCAATAAAAATGAATTGCTTGATATTCATTACTTCATGTGTATCAACAAGCATAGCACTAAAACAAAACAAAACAAAAAAAGATGTATTTAACTTATTTTTAGGTTTTATGCTTTTGTTAATTTTTTTTTTTTGATGCTTGCCTAACATGCATGTGCTGTAAAAATAGTTAACAGGGAAATAACTTGAGATGATGGCTAGCTTTGTTTAATGTCTTACGAAATTTTCATGAACAATACAAGCATAATTGTTAAGAACATGTGTATTAAATTCATGTAAGTGGAATAAAAGTTTTATGAATGGAGAAAAAAAAAACCAAGTACTGTATGATTCCACTTACGTGAGATACCTAGAATAGTCAAATTCATTGGGACAGAAAGTAGAATGGTGGTGGCCAGGGCAAGGGACATGTGGGGACAGGGAGTTATTGTTTAATGGGTATAATACGAGCTTAAATTTTGCAAGATGAAAAAGCTCTGGAGACTGGTTGCGAATATATCCACTAGTGAACTATATGCTTAAAATGGTTAAGGGGGTAAATTTTATATTATATCCTTTTAATCACAATCAGAAAATTAAAAAAAAAGTCAGGCTTGATGGCATGCACCTGCAGTCCCAGCTACTCAGGAGGTTCAGGTGGGAGGATCACCTGAGCCCAGGGAGGTCGAGGCTGTAACGAGCTTCCAGCCTGGGAGACAGAGAACCCTGTCTCAAAAATCGAATTAATAAAATATAAATTAAAAGGAAAGCAATGAATTCTGAAGAGTGTCCCTGCCCTGGAACGTTCTGCGGCCTTGCACAAAGTGCCTCCCTCCCTCCTAGCCAGGAAGAAAGAAAGGGTGGGTGCCACAAGGACATACCGGCCAAAAAAAGCCACTTTCATGTGCCGCCGAGCCAGCACCTCGCTGATGCCTCTCACTTTGGATAGGTAACCTTTGACGTCCAGAACCTGTTCTTCTGTGGTAACGGGGTCCAGTTCTGCATTCCTGTAGGTGTCTGGAGGTGGGGATGGAACATGGGTCACCACGTGGTCAGAGGAGTTCCACAGTCATAAGTCTGGAAGGGCCAGAGCAACCGCCCTGCTTACCCTAAATGAGTCCACCTCTGGCTCCCTGCAGCCGACAGGCTGAATTCCAGATCCTCTATGGTGGCCCCATGGTGTGGTGGTTAAGAACATGGCTAAGGAGCAACACTGCCTGGTTTTGAAGCTGGGTTCTTACCACTTTCTAGCTCTGTGGCCTCAAGCAAAAGAACCTTTCTGGGTCTTAGTTTCCTTAGGCACAAAATGGAGATAATGACAATATCTACTTCATGAGACCACTGTGAGGATCAAATGAATTAAAATACAAATGCTGTCAATGGCGGTTGGTGTAAGATGAATACCTGAATGTTAACTGCCATCCTTGTTCATTTTTTCTTAACAAATATTTACAAAGTTCTTACCACATGCCAGGCACTGTTCCTTTCACTTTTCAAATTCGTTCTCTCCTTTGGTCCTCTTTATTAACGTGGCTCCAGAGGTAGTAAAAGGCAGAGCTAGGATTTGAATTAGGCAGCCTGGCTCTGGAGTCCAGGCTCTTAACCACTCTGTGTCACTTCTCGAGGCCCTCCCTGCCCTGGCCCTGTTGGCCTCTTGCCACCCGCTGCCTCACAGTCCTCCCTCACCATATCCCCAAACTCACCAGCTTCCTCGGCCCTCTGGCTCTGCTCCCTGCTGCCCAAACCCCTTCCCACTCTCTGAAGAACTGACACACTACACTGCCTTGGGGCAGCTTGACTCATTCTCACTTGACCTCGAGTCTAGCTTAGACAGCACTGCCCCAGGAAGCCTTCTCTGACCACCCCTCCAACCTGAGTCAGGACCCTGGACCCCTTCTCTGTGTGCCCCAGCACCCTCCACTTCTCCTATCTCAGCTCTCACCTCACCATAAGTTAACTGTCCAGCTCACCTGTCTGTGTCATCTACCTCATGAGGGCCACGCTATCTGATCCCAGCACCCAGCAGGTGCACAAATGTTTGCTACGTGAGCAGACCTTTGGATTACAGCACTGCTTTTTTCCAGTGCCCTTAACAGGAAGATGGCCAACAAATTACTCCATACACGAGCAACTGAGTGAGATCCCACCACTGTCCTGTCTAGGACACGCACTAGACAAGCTGGAACACAGCCAGGTGTTTAGCCCCCCTGCACACTCCTGGGAACTACGAGGCTGACAGGCCCCAGACCTGAGAACACTCCCAAAGCATGTGAAGCATGACAAGGGCCCGCCCACTGAGTTTCCCCCGCAGGCAGCGCCATGAAAGGAAGTGACCAAGTCAACAACACCCCCATCTCCCCGCCCACAATGTCCACCGGTCACCTCTGCCCCAGAGGCATCAATATTCCTCCCTTATATGGGCAACTAGGCATGGCCTTTGGAATGTCCCTCAGAGGAAGCTGGTTCTCAAGCATGTGACTACACTTAAAAGTGGGAGCCAGCAGGCCGACAAGCTCTTGTTACCTGCCCGTTAGAAACAGTCCCCAGGCAGGAACCAACCCCTCCCTGACCCAACACAGCTCAGGATCACTCCAGCTCTTTCCCTTCCATTTAAACAACAGGGAGGCCTCATGTTTTCACACAGAGAGAAATCAAAGCATGCATCACATAAACATCTGCATTAAGCATGTGTCTGTCCACAACGTCATCTGAGTAGGTGACTCAGAGCTTCCAAGAGGGTTACTCTGGGCTCCCAGAGGGCAGTGGCCTGATCTACCCCATCTCTGCATGCCCAGCACCTGCCACAGGGCTGGCACACCACAGCCACTGAGTTGGGATTATTTCAACTACCAATCATACTACTTTAAAATTCAGATTTTAGTTCAACAAGTATTTAGGAAACACCTTCTGTTACATCAAGTGCCATGCAAAGGGCAGGGCACAGATGAGGGCATGAAATTGGACAGTCTCTTTCTTCAAAGGGAGCCTCGTGTAGCAGCCTGGCGTGTAAAACAACGAGAAGCCAAGCTGCTCTCGTTGAAAGCAGAATGGAAAGAAGGTGGCCCCCCTGAGCCAGGGGCCAATCCCAGAAGCACCACCACCGAACTTCTAGGGTTCTGCAGACTAGAATCTGAAACCACTGTTCACACCTGAGCCCCCTTTCACAAGTGAGGAAACCAAGGGCAGATAAGACTCAGCTACTGGGTCTCCACAGACAATCTCAGGACCTGGCGCCAAAGTGCCCTTCTAAAGAGGGAGCCTGAGGAAGCAAGCGCTGGAGTTGTCACTCAGACGAGCGGGGCCCCGGGAACCAGTCCTTCTCTGCTGATAAACAAGGAACTAGAGGTTGGGCTCAAATTAGTAACTAGTAGAAAAGGCACAGGTGACATGAGTTTCCTATAGTTCTGTCACCAATCTAAAAATATAAAAGAGAGGGCGCCCCGGTCAGGCATCACTGACACCCAAACAGTGCCTGGTATTAATGGCAGCCAGAACTAGGCAAAGGAAAACACGTGGGCTCTGGAGTTGGAGACACCTGGGCAAAGCCCTGATCTATTACTTACAAGGCATCCGACAACTCGCAAACCTCAATTTGTTTGCCTTGTAGATGGGGATAAGATTCACCTATCTTTCATGATTAAATGAAACGAAACCTGTGGACTTCTAAAGTAATTACTAAATGGCAGTTCCCTTGTCTTCCTGGCCTCATCTCCCCAGACTCCAATTCCACATGATTTCAAGAGCAGAGCATTTCTGAGGCTATCTGGGCATGAGTTCCCGAAGAGCAGAGCTATACTTCCCCACCCACAAATCCCACTAGCTAAACATCTAAACAGGTAAGAGTGGACCTGGCTGAGCAGGTGCCCCCTTACCTTCAAGGAAGGTGGCGCTCTCCTGGATGTAGGCCCCCAGCTGCTCAAAAATGCCATTGATCTTCTTCTTGGCAGTGACAAAGTGCTTGAGTGGGGAAGCATTCACTTCAGCCATGTGTCTCTTATCTTTCTTGACTGTGACGATAGTGTTGCATCGAGAGAAGAGCAGGGACATTGCGCTGCAAGAGAAGCCAATGTGAGCGAACACAGCGATACCTACCTCGGGACATCCTGCTGGAAGGATGGTGGAATGCTTGGGGGAGAACCAAGAATATGGGGATCTCAGGTCACTGCAACCTCCAGGACTAGAACAAAGGATGGTGAGATAAGAAGTGTCTCAGGCTGGGCACGGTGGCTCACCCCTGTTTCTCAGAACTTTGGGAGGCCGAGGCATGCGGATCACCTGAGGTCAGGAGTTCAAGACCAGCCTGGCCAACATGGTGAAACCCCGTCTCTACTAAAAATACAATAATTGCCGGGCGTGGTGGTGGGCGCCTATAGTCCCAGCTACTCGGGAGGCTGAGGCAGGAGAATGGCGTGAACCC